CAATTCTAATCACTTGATTAAGGTGGTTCTTTTAAAGATATATTTCCCCTTTACTAGGGAAATATACTTTGAGGGTGATACTTTAAGACAAAGTGAATATTCCAGTTGTAATAATTCTTCACCTGATGGTTTTAGTATCCCTTGAAGTTCTTTGCCTGTATCAATTATAATAGTGGAGTTGCAAAATATGAACCCTTTCTAGATGCCCACAGTTGGACATCTGAGCTCTCCCTTTGAGCCACCACAACGCTTTCCTTTCTTGGGTTATATTACTCTTTCAATAGCATGGTGACTAAGCCAGACTCTGGCACTGACTTGGCTCAAACCCAGGCTTTTTCTTACTAGCTGCATGACTGGCAAGTTATTTAATCTCTCTCGCCTCAGTTTCCTTATCTGTAAAATAGGCACAATAAAGGTACCCTTTTTTTATAGGATCGTGTTAGAATTAAATGAGCTAAATCAAAGCACCAGAATGCGACTTTGCACATAATTACCTGCTCAATAAATGTTAGCTACTATTGGGGCATGATTATGTGTATGTGCCTGAATCCCAACTTTGCCACATCTTAAAGCGTCTTTGGATAAGTTACTTAACGTCTCTGTGAGTGTGTTCCTCATTTATAACAACGGTCCAGTCTCATGGTTTCCAGATTCATGCTTAAGTGCTAGCTAGTAGTGTTTGGCACGGAGTAAGCATTAAAGATGAGCCGTCACCGCTGTGGTTAGTCCGTATCTTTTTATTTGCTCTAAAAGAAGGTAGGGGCGCCTGGGTGGCTCAGTTGTTAAGCCTATGCCTTCGGCGCAGGTCATGATCCCGGGGTCCTGGGATCGAGCCCCACATCCGGCTCCCTGCTCTGCGGGAAGCCTGCTTCTCCCTCTCCCCCTCCCCCTACTTGTGTTCCCTCTCTCGCTGTGTCTCTCTCTGCCAAATAAATAAATAAAATCTTAAAATAAAAATAAAAGAAGGTAAAATTTTTGCGTTCAAGACTTCAGATTTCTTTTCACTTTCACACAGTGCATAGCTCAGAGCCATTCACATAGTGTGGGTTCAACAGAACATTTGAATAGAGGAATTAATAAAGTCTTGTTGGGTGCCACTCACTTCCCAGTTACATCTTTGCCTCCTTCATACTCCCCGGTCCCATATTTGTGCTGCCTTCTCTAACGTAGGAAGCTCCGGCTTAGGAAAAAACATTCCCAGGGAAGGTTGTGAGAGGCTCTGCGAGGCGAACGCTGGAACCCCGTGCAGGGCTCCGCGAGCTGACTCCGCAGAGCAGGAAAAGTGCGTTCCCACTCGTCAAGGATCCGAAGCTACGCTGCTCTGTGATGGCATTTACGGCTCGGCACCAAAGTCTGACCCTCTTATTTTCCCCTCCCCGGCTGTCGGGCGAGGTTGAGGTACGGTAACTCGAAGTTGGGACGCTCCCACACCGCGACCCAGAGCGTGAGCGGGGAGAAAGTGAGGCCAGGGTCTCTCCCCGCCGAGAACCGCCGCCGGGACGCAGGCCCGGCCCACGCACCTGCGCCCCGCGCCCCGCGCCC